GTTCTACTTCAGCAGTCCTTTTAAATATCAAAATAAGATCAAAAGTGGCTGCTTATTGATGAGCTCACCCAAGTTTTGCTGGGTTTCAGCGTCTTTTCGTCTTTAATAATTCAGTGCTATTATGGTCAGTCATTTCTTTGTAATGCATTAGCAACTGAGCAACTGTTTTCTGCCAGGATTCTGCCTCCTGGATTTGCCAGGGAAGGAAAAAGAAATAAAAAAGAAGAAAATGGCTATGGAGACTGAGAGACTGAGCCTAGCCCTATTAAAATCTTAAAAGCTAACAAGAAGGAAAACCATTGGAAGTAAGAAATATGATTATTACCTTGATTGTGTGATGGTTTCATGAGGGTTTGCATATGTTAAAAATCTTCAAACTATGCATCTTAAATATTTTCAGTTCTTTGTATATCAATTATGCCTCAATAGAGTTATTAAGAAAAACCCATAGACTGACGGTAACAACCAAACCCTGCAAAATAATCACAGACCTGTGCTTAGAAATACAGCTCTTCACAGAGCTCACTCTATAAACTTTTGACCTCAAGATGTCACTTCCCCAGTAACTTAAAATCTACCTACATGTAGCATTTTGACAACATATTTGTGCATCTCTGGTTCCCTTCAGAGCCCTCTCTGAATTTCCATGCTTTGGAAATCGCATTTGTGTGTGTGATTTGAGTAACAGCAACTTCAATAAGACGCCAGTTGAAACAAACACATTTTTGGCACCTCCACACCAAAATTATGTATGCAATTTGGAGGTAATCCACAGAACAGCCAAGAGGAGTAAGAAGGGAATGGGGTGGTTGGCTGAGGAAGAAATGAGAGCTTCTGAATGTCCCCAGAGTGGGTAAACAACAATAAAGGAAGCATCACAGCCTATAAATATTTAAAAGGTGCAGGCATGAAATACGGATAGGAAGGATTAATTCTGGGACAAGGGCAGGGAGCTAGTTCTGATGCACTTGTATCATGGGAAAGGAAAGGGACACAGATTAGTATCATCATCTATCACACAAAATTTTTTATGGTCTCTGAATGCTCCATCTCAAAAGATGCCTAAAAACTACACTTAATTTTTCAACTGAGGGAAACTTCTTTCCAAGGAGGTAGGTTTTACTTGGCTTCCCCTTAGCACTACTTGAGGAGAGATTTTTATTTTGCATAATAAACTTTCAACCTCTTATTATAAAGGTCACACTTTTATTTCCCATTGGTCCTGAATTGAATTAGCCACAGGACAAAGCCAATAAATGACAAGACAAGGACCTACCTGTCCCGGTGGGACTATCAGAGAGCTAACTGTTATGGGAACTTTAAATGAGTAACCAAGTTTAAGTACAACTCGAAACTAGCAAGATTGCAGAGAAGATCACAGGGCCCAGAGAAGCAATCAGGAACTTCACAGACCAGGTGTCTAAGAAGTCACCAGGAGAATCTATCCTCCTTTTATGCATTCTTCTTCCCTTCCATTCCTACATTTACGAAGCATCTAAGGTGTCTCAACTGCCATGATGCAAATACAGATTTCACCTGGATCCTGCTGTCAAAGATTTGTCCATGAGACCCATGCATAAAGGATTAATTGCACTTGAGCATGAGGCATGAGGCCAGAGCTAGAATAAGGCAGAAGCAGGATCAGCCAAGCCAGCAGCATCTATGCAATGTGTGTATCTCATTGTACTGAGGACGTTCAGAAAGGAGTAGTTGTCCCATTTTATCCTCCCCAGAGCATAGGAGTCAACCCCTGGTATAACTAAGCACATGAATAGCCTCTCACAGTAGACTTAGGTGTTACTGGAAAATAATCAACGCCTTTATAACAACTTCACAGGCAAAGGAAGGACGGCTATCTTCTCCTCTCACATAGCAGTGCTTTACTTTCTATTTAATATTTATTTACTTATTTATTTTACTTTTTGTTTTTTGAGACAGAATCTCACCCTGTCACCCTCTGTAGAGTGCTATGGTGTCACAGCTCAAAGCAACCTCAAACTCTTGGGCTTAAGCAATTCTCTTGCCTCAGCCTCCCAAGTAGCTGGGACTACAGGCACCCTCTGCAATGCCTGCCTATTCTTGTTGTTGTTGTCATTGTTGTTTAGCTAGCCTGGGCCAAGTTCAAACCCGACAGCCCCAGAGCATGCGACTGGAGCCCTAACCACTGAGTTATGGGTGCCAAGCCGTTTATTTAGTATTTAAATAAAAATACTGTTCTCTCTTCCCTACTTTCAGGACATGTAGCCTAGGTTTTTTTTTTGTTTTGTTTTGTTTTTTTGAGACAGTTTCACTTATTAACCCTCTGTAGAGTGCGGTGAAGTCACACCTCACAGCAACCTCCAACTCCTTGGGCTTAGGCAATTCTCTTGCCTCAGCCTCCCAAGTAGCTGGGACTACAGGCACCCGCTACAACACCCAGCTACATGTAGCCTAGTCTTTGATATAAAAGAACCCATCCAAATATCATAAATCAGTGGAAAGGGCAATGTAAAGACACAAGCACCATCAACCAATCTTGGTACATGACCCAAGGTGACTAACACAGCTCATGGTTTATCATGACCTCCTGCTATAAAAATGTAGTCTCTGTCATTCAAGTACTTAGCAGGCCTTCTGTTGAGATGCAGAGATAATATCATCTTTAGAGGGATTATACATAGGTATGGCACATTGGAAACATAGAGATAAACCTACATTCATCTGAGAGGGACAAGTTCAACCTCATAAAATTTCTAACACTTAAGCTATGATTTGCATAAGGTCAGATGAGTCTGGGTGCTGAAAATCATAAAAGGAAAAATTAGTATTCAAATATTATAATCTAATTTGAGCTTTGAAGAGTATTCTATTCCTTTTTTCTTTTAATTCTTGAGAAGCTGTGTAGCAAGGAGAAAAAATTCAAAACAAAAGATTCTCCAAAGAAAAAGGACTGAGAGAAAGAGAGTGTCTCTAGGACTGTGACTCCATATGCCCTTCCTGAAAGTCGTACAGCTGATTCTTTAAGCACCACAATGAAAACGCACAGTAAGAGAACTAACTTATTTTATAGAATTAAATAATGATAAAATCAGTCATCAAGAGGAACACAAAAATTAAACACAATCGAATGAAATAAAGGGAAAAAATACAGGGTTATGAGTGAGCAGGGACTTTTGCAGGTTACCATCCATTTTCATGATGTCACATACATAGTTATTAATACATCATCATGATACAACCACAATTAAATTTCCTCATGGTACTGTGATAATATCTTTTTAAAAATTTAATACCCTGGTTGCTTTATTTCATTGTTTACATTCTCAGAGAATCTACCTAGGTTTCTTAGGAACAAGAAATCCATTTATAGTAAAATCATTAGTAGAATAATTGTACCCCACACAAACCAATATCATCAAAAAATCTGGTGAACAGATTTCAAGAAGACTTTTCCCTAAGAATATCAGGATATCCTTTGAGTAGTTTTTAATCTTCAAAGAGACCTGCAGATTAACTGAAGTTAGCAAGCCTAGAAGGAGAGCTCCTCTTGGAGCAAGTTCCAAAGGGAAGATGGAAAATAATGGAGGGCAGAGCCACCCCAGTGAATAAGACAAAGAGTCCAAATGTGATTTAAAGCACACAGTCACTCAGTTTTCTCATAGACTTATTCTTGGAATCGCCCCACCCTCCATTCATTTAGAGGGCCCCCAGGGATTACCGGGAGCCAGGTATGCTAACAATGACTCAGAGTCAGGGTACGCTATCTCATTACTCATTGGAATCATTATTCTATGTTTATTAAGATCCTTTCACAACCAATATTTGTAGAAAATTCTGCATGTACTAAATCATATCTCAATTCTTCAAGAGTGCATATTCTGTTGATGACAAATGTGCTCTTAAGACAGAAGAAAACCATTCTTTTCATTCGCACCATTGAAAAAAAGAAAGAAAAAATGACTGTTTTCCTCCAAACGCTTCATCTTTAAAAACATGTCAAGATCGGTTAAGGCACCAGCCACATACACAGGAGCTGGCAGGTTCGAATCCAGCCTGGTCCCGCCAAAAAACAATGACAACTACAACCAAAAATTAGCCAGGTATTGTGACCGGTGCCTATAGTCCCAGCTACTTGGGAGGCTGAGGCAAAAGCATCACTTAAGCCCAAGAGTTTGAAGTTACTGTGAGCTGTGACGCCAGGGTACTCTACCAAGGCGACAGCTTGAGACTCCGTCTCAAAAAAAAACAAGTCATGATACTAATTACTGACACAAACTGAAGCAAACACAATAACCATATGTATTATGAAAATACTCGAATTTGAGTTGCACCTCAAGGCAGTTATCACTAATATTCCAATTTTATGTATTAGGAAATAGGAGAGCCAGAAATACTGAACAGATAACACAGCGCCACACCATAGTGAGTCTGGTCCTCGTCCTAACACAGACTTTTCTCACTGTTCCAAACTCTTTGAAATGAATTATAATTTAGCCTGGTATTGCACAAAGAATTTGAAAAAACTCCAAAGGAGGATTCAGGTCAGATTTCACATTTGTCCAAATCCAAGGGACAGTTAACTGAAGTTGAAAGCCTTTCAGGCGATGAAGAGGTGAGCTCGATTTGACCTCTGAAAATACAAGTTTTCTCAGTAAAACTTCAAGCTCCCTAAGAAGGCAACCCTCCCAGATCCCAGTGGTGAAATTAATTTTTCTGTTAAAAATGACATTCAGATAAGTATCATACAGATGCCACTTTGAAATATACCAAGAGATCAGCCAAAAAGAAGAATAAGTTTAAGGTATGGGTTTTGCTTTCTTTTAATGAATTAAAAAAAAAAAAAAAAAAACCTTCATTATAGCATTAACTGGTCCATATCTACATTAAGCCTGTAATGAACACAAACTTTCTATGTCATTTTCTTATCCTACCCACTCTGGCTATCCTCCTTGACTGTGTTTCTCAATAATTAAAAACAATCAAAAATACATAAAACAACTGATTAAGGAAAATAATCTTACCTGAAAATTCAGTTCCCCTTAGTTCCACGATGACAGGTTTGCAGTATTAAGACAGGATCATTGTTTGTAGTCTCAGGCACCTAGGGGTAGATGTGGAAGATGTAACTTTAGTGATAATTTCCATCTAAGAAACCACTGTTAAATTAATTTTTACCTTTTCTCTGTTAAAATAAAAAACGACAGTGATTTAATTTTTCTTTCTCCCCACACCCCTAAACATTTTTAATCAAATACCTAAGCAATAGTATTGTTCAGTTGCTAAAAAAAGGAATTTTGTGAATTTCAATCTAGGAATAACAGAAGCAGAGAGGGCAGACAGGCAGAAAACTGCCACATAATTACGCTTCTCCTTGGAAGACACATTGACCTGTCTCGTTGCAGAACTCAAACATTTTGCAACAGAACACAATTTGCAAGTCTTTCAGCATGGTCCTCCATGCATCTTTGTGCAAAAATCATTTGTTTTTTGCCTGCTACAGTGATCAATCTGTCAAAATAAAACAACACCTACTAAAATGAGCAGAGCTCTATCAGGAAGCGTTCAAAGGTCAGATCTCTATGAACTACAGAAGGTACTTAAACCTACAAATCAAGAGCCCAAGATAACGCAATGGTACATTTCAAAACTATTAAGAAAAGAGTATAATTGTCTTATCACAACAAGTGAGTAAGCAAGGTGATGGATGTGTTAATCAGCTCAATGTCAGCATTTCACATGGTTTATCAAATCAGTACACTGAACCCCATAAATGCATCAACATACACAGTATGATTAATATAATAAAAAAAGAGCCCGCGGTGTGCTCATGCCAAACATCCCATCTCTTAAAAACATCAACATGTAAAATGAAGGAAATGTTTTATAACCAATATACACAATTCTTTTACTGTTAATTCTCAGGTGACTTGGGGATTGGCTCCCAATCATTAGAAGATTGCTTATAAACTTGTAGAATGCTTTCCCACAAACACACCTTTGAAAAAAACTAAGATTTTCTGTTAGGCATGGCGATAATCAGAATAAGTCAAAAAATAGTTTGCACACCCGTTGTTCTAATTTTATGACTGAATATCATTCAGAAGAGTGAAATTCCGCCTAATGATTTTAACTCCTTCTGGTAGAAATGATCAATTAAAGAGATTGATGAAACTACAACATCCTTGGCCTTCAGAAAAGAAAGGGAGGCTAAAAAATTTGAACAGCCCACTTCCATTCCGTGAATTATTTGACAATCTCTTTGGCCGATGCCAAGAAGTTACAAACAGATTGCAATGCCCAGGGAGAGAACCTCACACCAATACCCTGGCAAGAGTAAGAAAAATCTTCCCTGCTTTCCAATTGACCAAGTGACACACTACTCAGACTGTGGCCTTCATACTTTTCTTTAATAACCTCATTTCCACACACCCCCCCATCTACGTCTGACACCATTACTATCTGCATGATTATAACAAACAATTGTTTATGGTCAAGTACCAATGCACAAAATAGCATTCAATGTGGCTTCTAACCAGCGGATCTATGTACACATTGCTGGAGTATAATTGTGTTCACTGACTTCTACAGGCTATAGAAGTTCTCTCCCTAAGTAAAGGAATACAGAAACTGGCTATCACGTCATTATGTCCAGCAACCCTTATGTGTCACGGCAAGTTCTCAGTGGGAAAAAGAAAAAATGCAATGTTTGCTGATCCTACCATTCCGTTTGCTGAGGCCAAAGTTAAGAATGTCCTTTATTTATCCCCGTGATGAAGAACGGCATAAATGCAGTAGATCCCGCACCGGGAGTGCCACTCTTATCGTTCCAGTATTAAATCTCTCTAAGACATCATTCAAAACCCATCAAGTCATGCAACTACCTCAGGTGACTCTTCTGCGTGGGTCCCCACTTCTAACCACTATCGAGGACACCAGTGACAACAGAGACCAGCGTCTGCACTAAATCCCCCACACTTTCATGAGGATTTTTAAGGCTGTTGTTTAGCATTAGGCATGGAGACTAGATATGCACAAACTTATTTGCCTGCCCCCAGTGCAGACCATACCTCCTCAGCTCTCAGCTCCTTCCTTCAACTTCGGCTGAGAAGGCACTCACATCAATCACGCGTGTAAGTCCTTTCCCACTCATTCGATCACCGCATGTGCAGCCTCTGCATTTGGTAGTTGGTGGATATGACGAATTATCTCTGTATTATGAGGTTGCCTTTCATTCCTACATGTTGTAGGTGGATATGATTTCCAAAAAGGGGTTCCGGGTACCCAGACAGGCTTTTCGAGGGCAACAAGTACACCATATATGTATACTTGTTTTTTCCATTTCATTTTTAAAAACCTATTTTGACTGTTTTCTTATGGTAAATAGCAAATGAGTGTATCTATACAATTTGGAAGATGTAGACATTGCACAGTTTCAAACTATATGATCAATGTACACATACACTGTGATGGTCAAGAAAATGTCTTTTTCATTTGGCTTTTATGATATCAGCAGGATATAAAATCCTTTGAATTTATTTACTCACCACCACTGACGAAGATAATAATGTCTTACTTTCTATTCTTAGTGAAAAGTTGCTTTTTCCCCAGAGTCCCTAAGTTTCTTCTGCTTAAGAGACACTAAGAAGTATACCTACTGAATGTAAAGGGAGAATGGATAGGAGTGCTTAAAAAGCATGACTGAAAGAAAATATAGCCCAGCGTGACAGACTATAGGGTGTCCCAAAAGTCGACCCTGAAGTCACCAAACAGGGAAAATGGTAAATTGCCACTAAATGTACCTTCCTTTACAAGCCATTCACTACAGAATTTTCCAAAGAGGTGGCCAACACATAGAGAATGTTTTTTGTTGTTGTTGTTGTTGTTGTTGTTTTGTTTGAGACAGAGCCTCAAGCTATCCCCCTGGGTAGAGTGCCATGGCATCACAGCTCACAGCAACCTCCAACTCCCGGGCTCAAGCGAGTCTCCTGCCTCTGCCTCCCCAGCAGCTGGGACCACAGGTGCCCGCCACAATGCCTGGCTATTTTTTGGTTGCAGCCATCATTGTTGTTTGGCAGGCCCGGGCTAGACTCGAACCCGCCACCTTAGGTGTATGTGGCTGGCGCCTTAGCCACTTGAGCAACAGGTGCCGAACTGAGAATGTTTTATAAACGTTCTCAAATATGTGCCAAGATGCTCTGTACAAAGTTGTTGAGTGACTATATGATGCACGAGATAGTGTAACATAAAATATTATAATATTTGATATTCTAATATAAATATTTGAATTGAATATAAAATATTCAATCCATATGACATAAAATATTTACAATAAAATGAGAACCACCACATATATGATAAGTAGCAAATGTCTGCTGTTTGAACTTATTAATGAGGCAAACCTTATGCCAGCAATATGAAGATGTGAATTTTTCTCCCCTGAAGACTTCCAAAAGAGCACTGTGAAAGAAAGTAATCCCCATTTCTGATCACTAATTTTAATGTTGGTTTACTAATACACAGTTATTGACTTTCAGCCAAAGATAACAAGTGATTCTCTCTCCAACATCAATCGGAGACACGTGATGAGCTGCATGTTACGTTAAGCAATGTATGTATTATTTCATGTTATACAAGTGCCTTATAAATTGGGTACTACTGACCCTGATTTTATAAAAGATTAAATGAATTCACATAGGTTAGGTGGCACGTACAGAGTTAGGAGAATGAATAGCGATGCCAAGATTTGAAGCCAAGTTCATGTAACTCCATACCTGTGCCTTTATCTACACTAGACTCTGTTCCTTACTGCATCATCTGGTAAAGTGCTTTGAGTATCCTTGAGAAAAGGACTCTATATTAATGATTTCTCTATCCCCTACTATTTTTTCAGATACACATTTAGCTGTCTAAAGGAGGTCAATAGCATACTATGGGGAAATCAACCAAGACTATTCCAGGGCAACTCAAAAGTCCTCATGAATTTTATTCCTACCTCGGTGACTAACTAGCATTACCTATAAATGGCATGTCTCTTAAGCAAATTTTGGGCCACAAAATCCTTATGCACAACATGAGAATGATTTTTATAGTTTCTTTTTTGCCTTAAGAGTCTAGGATAACACATAGATGTGTGTGTGTATATAAAACCTCTCTGATGATGAAAGAAAGGGCAACTAAACTAACTATTCAAGAAGCTGGAACCATGAGACTCTCATGCAGGGTAAGAGTAGACACATTAGAAATCTTCTGTGTGGAAAGATGAATACACAGAACAGATGGACCAAAACAAATGAAATCTAACAGGACACAGCGAAGAGAATATAATTATGCTCTATGCTATCTTGGGCTGTTACAACTTGGAAGCAAGAAGATCCTCTCAGAAACGAATTCAAGGCAAATCATGCACAATAGAATTCTATTATTATGATAAGTCGTATTTGTTAAAGAAATAAATAGCTTTCAGAGAAGCTGAGACATTTTCTTGGCCGGTGCTCTCATAGTTTATTAACAGAAAAGAGGGTGTATTTTTCATCTCTAGCATTTAAAAACTAAGAACCAGTATACACTCTCAAGAACTCTTCCCTTCCCTCCAGCTGGCTGACCTGGAAGGACTAGAGTTTGGCTGATAATATAAATCACACTCAGGTACTCTGGGGTTTTGATCCAGCTCCAGCACATAGCTCACAATAGACAATCAATAAATATTTGCCTGCATGAATGAATAAGCTCTGCCACTTACTAGCTGTGCCACTTTGGGAATATTACTTAACTCCTCATTTTCACTGCAATCAAATGTGGATGTGGCAAAGCTCCTGGGAACCAGCTGCAGCCAAGGGTTCATTATAGCAGGACACCAAACGGTGGGGCAGGGCCCAAGGCCACGGCTGCAACACAAGTTTCAGATTCCTCATCACACCGTCACTGGTCTTCCAACCACAATTGTTGATGTAGCAGAATAGCCCTGGAGGTCAAGTTTCAGCCACACTGTGCCACCAAAAAACAAAGCTTGGACCCCCACCCCCACCGCAATACATGCAACTCGAAAGCCCCACCTCCCAGAGCCCAGAGGGTGCCTCCTCTGAAAGCGTTTGCCCCGTTTCT